CACTGATTCCTTCCATTTTCCCTTTGTGCATATCTGTAGATGCTTTACCTGTGGTTACAGCATTTGACTCGATGCTGACCAAGCGCCTGTCTTTCTCTCCTGCTTCCCTTTGTGTTACTGCCGTCTCAGATTCACCTGGGTATGTTACCTACCACTGAAGATGGATTTAAAGTTTCTCTTATTATTATTTCTGTGTAATGCGGGATTACCCCAAACAATATTTCTCCTGCCTTAGGCTCTTAAGTGTAGGAATGCAGGCATGTGCTACCACAGCCACACCCAGTTTGTGTGGTGCCGGAACTGAACCCAGACATTCCCACAAGTTAGCCAAGCACCCCACCAACAGGGCCACATCCACATTCATGCCGTCATCCTTCTACTCAAAGAACTCCTTTCGCTGTTCTCTCCCCGCAAAAATGTATTTACTTGTTTATTTGCTGTTATTTGCTGTTGGTATGCATGTGTCTGTGTTGTTGGGGGAGGCGGGGGGGGGGCTGCCTGTCCCTATACATACATAGATCAGAAGACAACATCAGGTGCCCTTCTCTACCCCTCTGTGTGTCTTCCCTTTACTTTTCCTTCAGTTAGGGACTTTTCCTGAACCTGAGGCTCATGTTTTCTCCATCAGGCTTAAAGCCAGCAAGCTCCAGCCATCTTCCTGTCTCCATACCCCATGGGCGTAGCCAAGACGCTCAGTTTTGTACATTCATGCTGGTGTCTGAATTCAGTCTTCAAGGTTGCACAATAAATGCTCTTAACTGATGAAACATCTCTCTAGCCCAGGACTCATTTTGTCATTTTTTGTTGTTCCTTTGTATAGGTCTAGTAATAATAAATTCCCTTGGCCTTTGTTTTTCTTGGAAAGTGTTAGAAACAGTTATGAGCCAACATGTGGGGGCTGGGAATCAAACCTCATTCTTCTGCAGGAGTGACAACTGTTCCTAACTGCCAAGCCATCTGTCCAGCCCCTTTCTAGAAACGTCTTCATTTCTCTGTCATTGAAGGACAGTTTCACCTGATACTATAGCCTTGGCTGACAGTGTTTTTTCTCTTAGCACTCTTGATATACCATTCCCTGTGGCCTCAAACATTCCCTTGAGGAAGCATCTGGAGGTCCCATGGAAGCTCCTGCAAATGAGACAAACTGCTTTTTCTATGTTGCTCTATTCTCTTTAAAATTGTCCTTGGCTTTTAGATGTTTTTATGAGACGGTGCCTTGGTGTTCCCCCTCCTCTGTTATTGTCACAGGGTCTCTCTGTGTAGTCCAGGCTGGCCTCAACCTCACCACTCTCCTGCCTCAGCCTCCTGAGTGTCATGATTATAAACACAAACTAGGTGGCTAGCTCCTTATTCCAGTTGGAGTCCTTTGAGTTTCTTGAACGTGTGTATTCATTTATTTCCAAAGATTGGGGAAGTCTTCAGTTATCATTTCTGCAAATGATTCCCGCCTTTCATCCTTTGTGACTCTCATAGGGCATCATGATCTACCTGAAGGTAGAGTCTACATGAGAGTCTACATGAGAGTCTCTGCCTTTCTTCATTCTTTCTTGCTTTTCTGCACTGACTCTGACTTAAATGACTTCTTTGAGATCTAGAGAGGTGGCTTGTAGGTTAAGAGCACTGGCTGCTCTTCCAGAAGACCCAGTTTGGTTCCCAGCACCCACATGATAACTTACAACCGTCTCTAATTCCAGTCCCAGGGGATTTGATGCCCTCTTCTGGCCCCCTGGGCACGAAATGCACTGGTGCACAGACACAAGCAAAACACCCATTCACAAACAATAAAAAAGAAGAGAAGGAAGATCACAGCCACTTTGCCTATTTGAATGATTGCTCTTCAGGTTTTCTGTTCCCTTTGCCTGTTCCACTCTGGGGGGACCCTCTTTATGAGCTCCACAGGCGATTCAACTCCAGAACTGATTTGGGGGTTCATTCTCTCTAATGGTTTTGTTTTTTATCCCTGATGACAGTGTTTTTTGTTTCTATGTAATTCTTGATTTTTGAGCACCTTTCTGACAAATGTGTTTTCCCCATCAAGCATACAAGATCCTGGTATGTGTGTAGATACACATACACATGTATGTATATGTATGTATATATGCGCACGTGTGTCACTTGTGTGGGGGCCAGAGTACAACCTTCTGTTATCCCTCAGGTGCTCTCCACTTGACTTTTTGAGACAATGTTTCCCACTAGGATCTGGTGCCCATTGATTGGTTAGACTAGTGAGGCCGTCCAGAGAACCCCAGGCATCTGCCTCCCTCTGTCTTCCCAGGACTGAAATTACAAGGGCACACCAGCATGCCTGCCTGTTTATATAAGTGCCGAGGACTGAACTCAGGCTCTGTGCTTATGTGGCAAGGACTTTATTGATTGAGTCAACCCCCTTGAGCCCCAGATCTGTGTTTCTTTAGGGTCAGCTTCAGTGTGTATGTGTATGTGTGTGTGTGTGGGGGGGGTTCTTCCTCTGATTGGGCCATATCCTGCTTCTGTGTATGGTTTAAGAGTCTTGCTTGTTGCTTTTGGTTTGGACTGAGTGGAGTAAGGGACTCGGGCCACAACAAGTGACCAGATCAGACCGTATTGACAAGTTTATTGGTGCAGCTCTCCATCCTGGGGCACGGGGCTGGGGTATTTGCGGGGGCATCAACGATAGACAATTCTTATAGTCCCGGGCCAGAGGAAGGGTGCCATGTCAGGCAAGAGCTGGCTTTTTTTCATGTAAGGTCCTGGTTAGGTTGTCTGATGGTTGTTCAGGTCGGGGCTGGCACCACCCGGAACTCGGTTTTAGCATCTTCGGGTAAGGGACAATTTACAATGTAGGTGGGACCGTACTGGGACCTTCCTTCCATGCCATGCTGGTCTTCATTCCAATGTCAGCCTAATAGGGGGCATTTGGAAAAACCATCTCTCCAGATTGTGTGCTAGCTTTAGGCAGAGAAAGTCTTTACCCATCAGCACACCTGGGCGTCTCTCGGATCGTGGAACTGGAACTCTAGTGTGCTACTGGCCTTTGTTTTCACACTTCTGTTCTGGGTTCATCAGCTCTGTACTCATGCAAGATAGAGTCCATGGTCCCAAATCCCCTGGGTAGACCTCTGAGGAGACAGACCTATTACTGCCTGGCTGAGTTTTCTGTATCTGTGCTGGAAACCTAGTAGTCCTGGTGGAGGAAAAGCCCTGGTGTGGGAGGGGCCTTGGTGTGGGAGGAGTCCTGGTATGAGCCGTTCCCCCCAATACCTTTGTTTCATTGCGTAGAGGGAGGAACACTGAGGACACTGCTATAGACTGAATATGTACCCCAAAATTCACCTGCTAGGGCTGGAGAGATGGCTCAGAGGTTAAGAGCGCTGGCTGCTCTTCCAGAGGTCCTGAGTGCAATTCCCAGCAACCACATGGTGGCTCACAACCATCTATAATGAGATCTGGCGCCCTCCCAAACATGTAGGCAGAACACCGTATACAGAGTAAATAAATAAATCTTTTTTTTTTTTTTAAATCTGCCTGCTAAAGTCTTGTCACCAATGTGTTAATATATAATTTTATAGTCTGCTTCATGGTTAAGACTTTGGGAGGAGTTAAGTAATGAGAATGGAATCAAGAGTCCCCAAAGAAGTGAGTGAGGAAAGCCTGGGGGTGCGACCCAGCTGCAGTGCTTGCCTTAGGGTGTGTTAAGGGCGGGGTTCACAATAAAATAGGGCTCAGGGAGGAGTTTGTGGGTTCCTTTTCTTCTGTTCTGACACTGGAGGACCAATGTTTACCCCTCTTCATCTTTACACCCCCTTCACGCTGTGAGCTCAAGCATTAGGCGTCACCACTTTGAAACAGGGACTTGTGATTTCACCAGACCCCAGACCTGCCAGAGCTTCGATCTTAAAGTTCCAGCCTCTGCAACTGTGCAATACCTTTCAGCTGTTTATAAACCATACACGCACAGGTATTTTGTTATCTGTCAAACAACTAGACTGACACAGGCACATCCAGTTTCCCCACCTTCCCTTGGGATTCCCGTCTTGGTATACACTTGTAGGTACTTCGGCTTCTCCTATTCTCAAAGCCGTTTTCTGGTCCATAAAGTGTTACACCTGTGTCTCTATGGAGGATCTTCAGCTTGTTGGCCTACTGTCTTGTTAACGTCACTTTGCAGTAGAGTGAGGTGTGTGTGTGTGTGTGTGTGTGTGTGTGTGTTACTGGTAATGGAACCCCAGGTTTGTGCATGGGCTGAGCTGTACCTCAGCTGTGCAGTGCATTCTGGTGTGGTTACTATGGCTACTCCCTAGCTAGAGGTTCAGGAACGTAAGAGGCCCACCTGGACTGTAGTAGCTTTGGAGGGACTGATGAAAACTGTAGTGTTGTTTTCTTTTTCTTTCTTTTTTTCCTAGAATCCTCCATAACAATAGCATCTTAAGAGAACCAAGTACTAGATCTGAGATTCAGGAGCCTCCTTCTGTACTTTCTGGCCCCTGGGCATCCTGGTGTACTGTGGGTAGCCTTGTTAGGAGTTCCTCCCCTCTGAGTAAAAGGCTTCCCATCTCTTTGCAGTGCTCCGACCCACAGAAGCTGCTCCACATTGCCCAGGAGCTTCTGCACACAGAGGAAGCCTACGTGAAGCGGCTGCACCTGCTGGACCAGGTAGCCCAGACGGCTGGGAATCCCCTTCTCTCCACGTCCAGGATTCAAACCACCCACCCCTTCACACTGCTTGGGTATTATGCTTTGAGTAGGTATGACAAATACTAAAACTCAGATAACATGAAGTTCTCAGTGCTCATGGCTCCGGGCAGAAGCTCCACATGTTCAATTTAGGGACACATCTTCATGGAGGATGCATCATCTGAACACATGAATGAATGCTGGGGTCTGGGGAGATGTCCCAGTTAGGAAAGTGATTGCCCTCCATGCACAAGGGCCTGAGTTTGCTTTTTAGAACTCATGTAAAAATGCCAGGCTAATAATGGTGCCTAATGCTTTTAATCCCAGTCCTGGGGAGGTGGGCACAGGTTACCCGATGCTTGCTGGCCTGACAGTCTAGTCCTATCAACTTGGCGATATTAAGGTTCAGTGGAAAGACCTTGTCCAAAAAGCCAAGGTGAACGATACCTGAGGAGTGACCCCGGAACTGTCCTCTAGCCTTGACAGGCATGTACACACCATGGCCACATGCACCCATATAGCCATGCACACGTGCACACACACAAAGCATCCACAGCTGGGCCTGAGGGCACTATGCATCCCTGTCTGTGAGGAAACGTGAAGATCTTTAGCACAGGAAAATAAGACCTGCTCAGCGTGTAGTTCCTGCCTGCACCTCAGAAGCCGAAGATCCCTTCCACTTCTCCTGAGAGAGTGATGAGGAAAGATGTCCCACCCCACCCCTCAGGCGCTGCTCCTACCTCAACTGTGACCCTCCGCTGGAAGCAAGCTTTCAGTGTGACTTAAAGCTGGAGGATTCCGGCTCTGACGTTCACTAAGGAAACCTAAGTGGGGCTAGAGATGTGACTCAGCAGGGAAGCGTGTGTCTTAAGCTTACTGTTGCTGTAATGAAACCGTGACCAAGAGCAGGTTGGGAGGGAATGGGTTTATTCAGCTTAAACTTCCTCATAGTCCATCACTGAAGGAAGTCAGGACAAGAACTTCAACAGGGCAGGAACCTGGAGGCAGGAGCTGATGCAGAGGCCGTGGAGGGGTGCTGCTTACTGACTTGATCAGCATGGCTTTCTCAGAGCACCCAGGACCATCAGCCCAGGAATGGCACCACTACAATGGGCTGGGCCTTCCCCTATCAATCACAAATTAAGAAAATGCCCCGAGGCAGGATCCTATAGAGACATTTTTCTCAACCGAGGTTTCCCTCCTTTCAGATGACTCCGGCCTGGGTCAAGTTGATGACTTGTGTTTGACTCCAAGTACCCACGTAAAAAGTGCACACTCAGAGGCTAGCGTGATGGCTTAGCTGTTGGGGGCACTGGTGGCTCTTCCAGAGGATCTGGGTTTGGTCCCTAGCACCGATGTAGGGCCTCACAGCCACCTGAAACTCCAGTACCAAAGCCTCTGAGGCACAGGGCACTGGCATGGTGCACTGACACAACTCAGAGAAAGCATCCATAAACAGAAAAGCAGCATGGACAGATGCCTCAGAAGTGTACCCCTGGAACCCCAGCACCAAGGAGGCGCAAAGACAGGAGGGCTCCTGGGATTTGCTGGCTGCTAACCTAGCTCTAGACCCTGTCTCTAGAGACCGCGCTGGGGAGTGACATCTTTCCCTGGCCACTGCGCATACACACAGGCGTGCAATACCCAGACGCACAGACACAGACACACACACACACACACACTAAAGCAAAACCAAGATTTTAAATTAAAAAAGAAAGGAACCCAAGGGCCCACTCCTGTGGCAAGTGTCCGAGCAAGTGTCAGTGGCCATTGTGGATATCTCTGTGCTCAGGTTTTCTGCACCAAGCTGGCAGAAGCAGGGATCCCTCTGGAAGTGACTACCGGCATCTTCTCTAACATCTCCTCCATCTACTGCTTCCACGGGCAGTTCCTCCTGCCGGAGCTGCAGAAGAGGATCACGGAGGAGTGGTGAGTGTGGTTCCCGGCCACCCGCAGGGCCCCGAACCTAGAGTTCATCTGCCTGGATGCCCAGCAGGTTCTTGAGGGTAGGGCCCTGTCTCATGGAGGCCTGGTGTCTCCCTTCCCTTTGAGATTCTGGTTCCAACCCCAGCCCCACCTATTCCTGGGTGGTGGCCTTGACTGGGCCTTTGGTGTCTCTTAACTTTATGGAGCTTGATGAGATTTGCCATCCAGAAGCAAAACAACGGACGGTGCTGATGGTTTTATTTTCCCTCTCAGCCTGCTTCTGCCTTTGTTTTTAAAAAGGATATTCTCTCCAGAAGTGGTTGCAGGTCCTCTGTTTTTCGTGACCCTCGGCTTTTGCTTATTTTTCAGCAAAAGCTGCAAGCCATGATTAATGCAATGGCGTCAGAGAGGCCCACCGGTTTTTACCATGCACCTCCTGCATTTTGGGAGGCTTGAAGTGTGCCTGCCTTCCTTTGCACATCTTGCGTGCCGCTCATGTCTCCTGACATTGGCTTGGGTAGCTGGGCCTTGGTCATCCTTGCCTCAGTGTGTGGGTTAGGCCACTTTGCGACTCTTAAGAAGCTGCAGAGTAGGTTGTACTGTGTCCTCAAGATGGTTAGAGCTGGACTTCTGGTGACAAAGTCCACGTGGGGCAGCACAGGCTTTCTCCTTCCATGCCCTGGAGACCCTACCGTAAGCCTACACAGGGTCTCCTCAAGCCACTTGTCCTGCGTCCCTGCTTGCTCAATTTATAAAATCAAGCCCCGTGCACAGTTTCAGAAGAGTGCCAAGTGATAGATTCCTGTCTGTGCCTTTTATTTCCCCCTTTGGTTTTGGTAATTACTATGGACAAATCTCCAAAAGAGAGTTCTAAGGTCAGAAATTACTACATTGATTTTTTTCCTGTGAATAATCACTATGCATCCAAGATAGGTTACCAATGACAAACTGAAAAACAAACAAACAAAATTAAAAACGACCCCCAATACATTAGTTGAAGCAGTGAGCTTCCTGGGGTTACTTACTGCAGCATGGTGACTCAGAGGGGGACACAGCAGGGGAGGGCTCATGAGGCTGCTTACCAGAGGTCCCTCACAGCTTGAGGACAGCTTGGCAGAGCAAAAAGTCTCCCCCAAGCAATTGTTGCGGCTTATATGGCCATGGGAAGAGGCTTTGTCGATCTTGTAAGCTTCAGGAGCTTCCTGACGGTTTGGTTGCTTGTCGAGCCCGGTAAGTTTTACTTCCTGAGTCTTAAGGAGCCTCCCTTCTGGAGGGGCTATTTTTACACAGAGGTGGTAACTAGGCAAGCATCATTACAGGGTTTGCTTCCTAGAGCTTATTTGTTCACTCAGTGCCCTCGAAAGTTTTCATCATTGGTCCTGCCAAGGCCTCTTCTCTCCATGACTTTGTATAGACCCACCATTTCTAATCTGTGTTCGTTTAGAGCGGCACTTCACTGACCATCTCTAATAACTGCGGCATGCCACTCAAGGACAGCGCCACTGCTAAGAGTCACCGTTTGGCCACTGGGCCTCAGCCTGTGCTGTTGAGGTGTTTAGAGACGCCCTCTCTTAACGTACAACGACACACTGTTTTCTACTCCACAATATGGGGGAGAGCACTCTGAGAGGGTGCCAGTATGCTTACCATCATACCCAAGGCGTGAGCACCATCCCGTGACCGTGCTTCTCTCCACACAGGGACACAAACCCTCGACTCGGGGACATCCTGCAGAAACTGGCCCCGTTCCTGAAGATGTATGGCGAGTATGTCAAAAATTTTGACAGGGCGATGGGACTGGTGAGCACATGGACCCAGCGCTCTCCGCAGTTTAAGGACGTCATCCACAGCATCCAGGTGGGTGGCTTCCGGAGGAGTGTGATGCTCGCTCTCTCTCAAACTCCAAATATATTTTTTGTTTTGTTTTGTTTTTTTGAAGCAGGGTTTCTTTGTGTAGCCTTGTCTGTCCTGGACTCACTTTGTAGACCAGGCTGGCCTTGAACTCACGGCAATCCGCCTGCCTCTGCCTCCCTGAGTGCTGGGATCACAGGTGCGTGGCACCACACCTGGCTTCCAAAAAGTTTTTTAAGAAAGGGTCTCAGGTCGGGCATGTGCCTTTAATCTCAGCACTCAGGAGACAGAGAGGCAGGTGAACCTTTGTGAGTTTGAGGCCAGCCTGGTCTACATTCCAACCCAGACAGCATTACATACTAAGACCATGTCTAAGAACCAAATAACAAAGCCAAACAAACAAACAAACAAACCCAACCCACCACCACAACAAAACAAGGACTCTAGACTTGGCTCGTTCTGCACTCCCTATGTACTAAGGATGCCCTTGAACTTCAGAATCTTCCCCTCTCTGCCTCCTGAGAGCTGGGATTGTTAAAGTGTGTGCCACCATAGCCTGTTTAGACAGTGCTGGGATTACACGCCTGCACAGGTATGTCTGGCTTTTTTCTACATGGGTTCTGGGGTTGAAGTCAGATCCTTATGCGTAAGCAGCTACACCGTCCCCCTATCCCGGCCCTCAGGAGACACTAGGACATTAAACTTGCACATAAGCATGTAGTACAAGACTCAGCTGTGTTGTGGAATGCCACAAATAGCGCCCCCTAGAGATGGAGACAGTATTATCCACCTCCCCACCCCCGCCCGCACAAGCCACTGTCCTGGTCCATACAGGGCAGACCAGGCTCTTGGGTCTGGCAAGTCCTAAAGTGACAAGACATCTCCAGAATTGAAATGACAATTGTCTGCATTGGCTGCCTCAGCACTTTGCTGTCCCTGAACAGTGCCGCCTGGGGATATTTCCTGCTAGACACAGCCATGGTTGTGCCCCTTGGCTTGGCACAATTCAGCCATTCTCTGCAAAGACTTGGGTTCTGTCTGCTGACACTAACGCTTCTGGTATCTGGAGGGTGGATCCAGGCTCATGTCTACAGTGCACTGGATGGCCCAGAACAGAACATTTTCCTATGCAAATGTCCACAGCCAAGGCTGGGAAGCCTCGACCTGGACAACATGGAGAGCAAATGACCATCTTGTTTCCTTTGGTCTCTGGAGAATTCCTTTGCTTGATCCAAAGCATAGTTTAAACTATAAGCCTTAAAAAGAATCCAAACAGGAGATAAGGGAGGGAGGGTGGGATTGGGAGGGAATGAGGGAGGGGGCTACAGCTGGGATACAAAGTAAATAACCTGTGATTAATATTTTAAAAAATTAATTAAAAAAAAAAAGAATCCAAACTTTTACCAAGCATTTGTAAAACGATCAACTTAAGGCTAGAGAGAAAGCTGAAGACTTGAGTTTGGATCTTTAGCACCAGGTAAATGCAGATGTGGTGGCATGTGTCTGAACCCTAGCACCAGAGGCTGATGGTAAATGAGACCCCACCACCACCACCACCACACACAGGTGAGGTTCCGTTTTGAATCCTGGATTAGGCACAATCCATATCCAAACAATTTCACAGAGATGGTTAATTAAGCGGGGAAGAAAAGAAGCGGCTGCTTTCTGACCTAGGCAGAAAAACAACAGCACCTGACCTTCCAGGTGTAGTTTTTAAGAAGTGAAAAGGGGGAGGTCTATGTTAGGGTAGGCTAGGATGTTGTGGTAGATTTTGATTGGGCATTTTAACTAGGTGAGCCAAAAAGGGCTTTTGATTGCTGGACTTTAATATTTTGATAGCTGGACCTTGGTAGTCAGCCTCAGGAGGAGGAGGAAGTGGCCAAATAAAGGAATAGACTTTGGTGGCCAGCTTTAGGAATGTAATCTAATGGGTTTTTAGCAAGGCGGAGGGAATGGGGGAGAAGGGCAAGGCCTGCCAGAGCCATGTTTGTCATTCGGGAGCTGGCCAGAGTCTCTTCGGAGGGTGAGGTCATGGAGGCAGGTAGATTCTGGGGCGGATCAGCAAACCTAGAGGAGCCCAGTTTCAGCCAGAGATAGGAATCCATAGAGCATGCTCAGGCATGACCACAAAAGGACAAACTTAGACAGACGCGGTGGTGCACGCCTGTAACCCCAGTCCTCTGAGGGGCAGAGGCAGGCGGATCTCTGTGAGTTCAAGGCCAGCCTGGCCTACACAGTGTGTCCAGCTGAGGCTACACAGAGAAACCCTATCTTGAAAAACCAAAACAACCAAACAGACAAAACGAAAGGACGAAGTTACAGACATGCCAGACTTGCCTCCAGCACACGTGGTGGTTATTGTCTTTTGAAATGCCTCTGCTGGCACTTCAGTCTGCATGCTAAGTGTGAAGGGTGTCTCCCACACGCCCTCAGTGGTGACGAAACTCAAGAACCTCACACGTGGCTGTCACAGCACCGTCTCCTCAGCCCACACAGCCACCAGCTATCCAACGATGCACTTTACATTTTTCTCTTCGTGGTTCATAAGACAAACTAGGACCACATCCTGTTCTCATTATCAGACTGAGCCCTTTCCTCTAGCACAGGCTCTGCCCCTGTCCTCTTGAGGGAATCTGCTACTTCTTGGCTTTGGGCTGATCTGTGATTCAGTTTTGAGCTGAGCCTTTGTGTGAGTTTCACTGGAGCAAAGATTTTTTTTTCCCTCTATTCACGAAATTCTGGCAGGGATATGCATTGAAGCCCTATGAATATCCATAGCACCACATTGTTTCTCTTATTCTTGCTTGAAATAATTTGCACGTGTGTGTGGGTATGCTCGTACACATTTATGTTCACGTCGAGGTCAGAGGCTGGTGTTGAGGGTCTTCTATCGCTCCTCATCTTATTCTTCAGAGGCAGAGCCTCTCACTGAGCTCAGGGCTCACTGAGTCTGCTAGGCTGACTGGCCAATGATGCATGCTCATCTCTGCCTCTCCAACACTGGGGCCACATACTTTTTTATTTAAAGTTTTAAAGATTTAAAAAATTTTATTTTATTTTATTTTATTTTATTTTATGTGTACAAGTATTTTGCCTGCATGTATATCTGGTGCCCAAGGAAGCCAGAAGAGGATGTTAGATACCCTGAAACTTGTGTGGCAAATGGTCGTTGGCCATGTAATCGTCAGCACTGACCCAGGGTCTTCTGCAAGGACAGTCAGTTCTCTCAACCTCTGAGCCATCTTTCCAGCTCCAACACTTGGATCTTTTTTTTTTTCATAAGTGCAACTTCCATTAAAAACAAAACAAAACAAAAAGGCAGGCATGGTGGCACACACCTGTAATTCCAGCATTTGGGAGGCAGGGGCAGGTGGTTCTCTGAGTCTGAGGCCAGCCTGATCTACAGAACTAGTTCCAGGACAGCCAGGGCTACACAGAGAAACCCTGTTTTAAAGAAAACAACAACAACGAAACCAAAACAAAAACCCAGTTGTTTTACTTACGGGCTTGGAGAAGATGGCTTGGTGGATAAAGAGCTTATGTATAAGCACAAGGACCCGTGTTCAGACCCCCAGATCCTGTTGCACCCTAAGGAGTTGAGCCCATCTCTATCAGAAGTTTTGTTCTAGGGCCTGAGGAAGGTGTGGGTGACTGGGGCCCTGAAGTTGCTAGGGGCAGAGCAGTGGACAGCAGGCTGTCTCAGCTGTCAGCATGGCGAATGCAGCAGGGCAGGAGGGCTCAAGGTGACCATAGAGGCAACAATGATCGTGGGCGGGCTTGTGTGTGTGATGAAAGGTGCGGGCTGCTGTAGCCTGCAGCAAGAAGGCACCAAAGTGTGGCGAAAGGGAGCTGTGATCCGGAGGGAGGAGGGGAGGGGAGGGGAGAGGTGGGGAAGGAGGGACCTTATAGGGCTAGGCTTTCAGTAGCCACCAGCTCTCTCCTTCATTTATTATGCACAGACTCTGCAGAAAGACGCAGCAGCTTCTAGGCATGAGGACTGATACGGGGGAGCTAGGCACAGTTGGCCTCCAGAGAGGAGAGCCGCCTCAGTTTCCTTGTCTGTAAGGTGGGGTGGGAACAGCAATCTCTCTCATGGGAGTAGGCTTTGTCCTGCCGCTTGTTTTCTTCAGCCCAAGCCTCCCCCCGCCCCCCACACACACCCAGAGACTTCCAGTTCTCCCTCCATCACTAGGTACCTCTCAGCCTCAGGTTCTCCAGCCATAAGGTGTGGTCTATGCTAACTGTGTCTTGAAAAGAAGGCAGCTCCGGGCAACTTCCAGGGACCGTGGTGGCCAGAAGCAGGGACAAGACTGGTGACCCCCACATGTGCTCTTGTTCCCCCAGAAGCAGGAAGTGTGTGGGAACTTGACATTGCAGCATCACATGCTGGAGCCTGTGCAGAGGGTCCCCCGCTATGAGCTGCTGCTCAAGGACTACCTCAAGAGGCTCCCCAGGGATGCCCCAGACCGGAAAGATGCTGAGAGTAAGTGGAGGTGGCCTCAAGGATGAGTATAGGGGACAGGGGATGTCTCTAGAGGAGGCTGAGAACCCTGGGTTGAGAATCACAGAGAAAGGTAAAGGAGAGAGGGAGGGAGAGAGAAAGACAGGAAGAGACAGAGAAATAGAGACTAATAACTAGGAACCTGATTTAGTCTTTTCCTATCACATGAAAGGGTGCTCTCTCTAGGGAAAGCACTGCCAAGCACTGTTTCCCCCGCAGCTTAGGATCCAGCATGATCCCCATGCTGAGGCCATTCTTAGTTCAGGAGTCATGACTAAGGTAACTAGTGGGCAGCACAGGGCCGGGGACTGTACAAGAGAGTCATGGGTCCCACCTTGGTCTTAGCCCCAGCAGGCTCAGCAAATGGCTCTGGGCCTTGTCCCTTCTCTGCGCCAGACCTCTGGAGCAGTCTGACACCCTGAGGAAGGCCAAGTGCAGGAACAGGGCCTCCCACGGGAAACCATGCCTACAGTATCAATGTCAGCCTCTCCAGTGAGGACATGTGTTACCACGTGCCCAGGCTCACTCAGTTCTCCTCATGCAGGGTCCCTGGAGCTCATTTCCACAGCTGCTGACCACTCCAATGCTGCCATTAGGAAGATGGTGAGTTCAGGGAGCAGAGAATGTACAGGCAGAGTGAGAGGGTGGACCACGTAAGCAAGCACCTTCACCCCTGATTCCAGGCAGGCCCCATCAGTGAGCACATGTGTACCCAGGCTCCCCAGGACATGCCGTGACTAAGCCTGACTCCTCTACATACCTGACAGCTCCTGCAAGGCCATGGGTTCTTCCCTGCCCTCAGGGTCCCACGCATCCTGGACTATTTGGTGCACTTTCATCTATGGCGTCCATATGGGAGATAGCCTGACCTGTCTGCTTCTAGGTAGAAATCACAAGTCCAAAGACAGGACACCTGAGGCCTAGCAGGTCCTACCACAGCCCATGCTGCTATTGTCAAGGTCCCTACAGGCTCAGTTCTACTTTGAATAGTGTTGGATCCTAACCAAGAACTAGGAACATGAGCTGCTAACCTTGTCCCCATTATACCTCTGTACATCGTGACTCCCTAACGAAGCCTGGGGAAAGTGACATGTAGATTGGCCCAGTCTGGGTCATAGCAACTCAACTGACTCCTGCATGCCTCAGTTTCCTTGTCTGTAAGTTGGGGACAACAATGCCACTCACTTCATAGAGTTTGTGTCTGAATTAAATAATTACAATGTGAATGGTGTAGAACAGCCCTGGCAACGTAGCCACAGAGGTTTGTGATTTATTATTCTCTGAATGATGAGCTTCTAGTCACCCTTTGGTGCTCAGCTCAAATATCACCTCGTGTTTACCTCCCTTTTCGCGGGCAGCCATTTTATTGCTACAGTGGGCTCTGGGTCACAGCTGCAGAGCATGGCTTTGCCCACCTCTGGGTACAGAGCAGTTCTCTGGTCTTTGTAACCTTGCAGCTGCCTGACCTTTGTGTCTCTTGCAGGAGAAAATGCACAAGCTTTTGGAGGTGTACGAGCAGCTGGGTGGTGAAGAGGACATTGTCAACCCAGCTAATGAGCTGATCAAGGAGGGCAACATCCAGAAATTGTCAGCCAAGAATGGTACCACTCAGGACCGACACCTCTTCCTGGTGAGACAGGTTGCCATCCCAGCCACAGACCTCTCTCACATACTTTTTCAGGCCATGGGTGATACTGGAAAGACTCAGAGGCCCAAGCAGGAAGCTCTTTTTCTGTAGCTCTTTTTTTAGCCTCCCTGATATGAGCTATCTCTTGCCAATGGTTCTGCCCTGGTTTCTGTAAGCATCTGGTATTTATGACCCTTGTTTCCAGCATTTTTGTTCTCTTTTCCCTACCTTAGTTACAGTTAAAGAGCTCAGCAACCAGAAATAAAAAGAATTGTAGCCAAACATCAAGATTCCAACCGGTCCCAGAACCAAACTCTGGTTTACAGAGAGGGGAAAGAGAAATTACAGTAAGGGGTCCTCTTGAGTACCTGACATACAGGAAAAGATATGATTCTTTTTTCTCATTTTTCTATAACTATTTCTCTACTTCATCTAACTCCTTTTCCTCTTCTCCTTGCTCTTCTTCATCCTCTTTATTCTTGCTTCTTCCCAAGGCTTTATATTTGCTAGGCAAGCACCCTGTTACTGCCTTACACTCAGAGCCCAGCATCTATTCTTGAATAAGTAGCTATATTTTTGAAAGTTTCTCTCTTAACCCAGGGCCTATAACATATCTAGCCACAGGTTCTTTGCTGAATAATAGTGCTAGGTATGCGTTTCATCATGTAGAATGGGCCTTCAATCCAACCGGAAGGTGATTGGTTGTTCCCGTGACATACATGCCACTATTGTACCAGTGGGCATGTCTTACTGGGCCAGTTGTTATTGTAACTTACCGGGTTCACATCTGGGTGTGGTTTATGCTTACCTCCTCTGGTAAGGTGCATAACATCTTTCAACACTACAGAAGCTATCCAATAGGGATGAAGCTTTCATGTCAGTTCTGACTTGATTTCTCTGTGTTCTAGGGCTCAAGTATGTGGTATTTTCACCAATAGAGTCTTATTGTTAAGTGCTGGAGGGCAACCAAGAGCATTGGCAGTAGCCTGTACTGTGTGGGGCTTATGGGGGCTCAGTGGCCAGTGACTCCAAAACACATAACCTTTTTCTGGAACTGGGCTTTTGCTTGTTAGTCCCTGGAACTTTGTGGGGCCATTGCTGTCCATTAAGAGGCTCAGAATCTGCCTCTTGAGTGTTGTGCTTAAAGGTGTGTGTACATCTTTTTAAAATATTTTTTACTTTATGACTTTAAAGAAAGCTTATATGGGTCCCCTGTGAGGGCTCCCTGTGGCCACTTCTCTCCCTGACATCTTTCTTGCAGTTCAACAATGTGATGCTCTACTGTGTACCCAAGCTAAGGCTCATGGGCCAGAAGTTCAGTGTACGGGAGAAAATGGACATCTCTGATCTCCAGGTCGGTGGTCAGTCTCTCCCCCTCTTATGCCTTGGAAGGGGTACAATCAGGGGTAGCTTTGATGTCCACCTCTGTGACTCAGAAGTTTCTGATACATGTTGGTCCTGGTATACTAGCCTGAGTGGGCAGTGCTCTGTGTGGTCTTGGCTTGTACTTTCTGCCAGGTCCCTGATGGGTTCATGCTGAAGGGGGCAGGAGGCTGGGACTAAAGTTCACAGCCACGGTGGTCATGTAGACATAAGGTAGGCTGTTGCTTTGTGAGAGCAGGACTCAGGACCCCAGCTAAAGATTTAAAAGTGAAGCTCAGGTCATGAATTCAGAAAGGAGCGTGGGCCCACTCACCTGGCCTGTACCCCAGGCCACGAGCTATCTTATTCCCTGAACCATCTCAGAGTCTTTGTGTCTTTGCTCCCCTTGGTCCAAAAGCCGCTTCCATATGTCATGATAATCAGGGCTGATATGGTTTTTATGTGCCACACAGAAATTTGAATTAATAATTACTCAAAAATATTTTCCAATTAAATGAATCTATTTTTAAAAGCAAAGATTTGATTAAACAACTACTCACTGCATAGAAATTCTCCTGGCATTCTCTTGGTCCAAGTTAAGAAATAGTTATAAGCAACAACTAGCTCCAGGGGAAAAAAATGGCTTTTTCCATAGTTAGGAGAAACCAGTGAGCACTGAGAAACCAGTGCTGGGGCTGGAGATGGCTCAGCAGCCCAGAGCTCTTTGCTGATCTTCCTTTCAGAAGGCCCAACTTCAGTTCCTAGCACTAAACTGAGTGGCTCAAAACAACTGCGTGTAACTCCGGCTCCAGGGGGTCCAGTTTTCTCCTCTGGGCCCTCTCATGTACTTGTGTACATAACTACATACGAGCACCTCCCCACACACACTCATACACATATATATATATACACACATACATACACAAGGGAGCGCGTGCAAAACAAAATAAGTTGTTTTTTTTTTAATCAATCCTGTTGTAGCGGCTTTTATATGTTAATACCATTTTCAACATGCAATGCGACAGTCCAGAGGTTTCTGGTTGGGTCCAGGTCTGCATATCCGTGCTGCCTCCAACTGGCCAACTGAGGTCAGGGCTCCTACAGTGACCAGCCCAAGAGCTGCCCAGAGCAACTGTGCTCTGTGGTTTCGTGCTGAGGGAAAAGGGTGAAATCTGAGTCTCCAAATACACGACCACTACTCCATGGACTCTCTCTTGGGTGCACACCTTTTAGCTCATCAAGCACCTGCTGAGTGACAAGCGTCTAAGGTCTTCATCCCTCCCAAGAGGTGCAGCTGTGCTGGGAGGGAAAGGCCAGGGCTCCGTGGGGGCAACTGCTGGCAGAGGCCTGATGGGTAGGTTCACTTGCCAAACAGCCTTCCAAACACAGAGCCTGACTGAGTCCTAGCTCTGTGTGGGCAAGGCCAGCGGTCCACCCTCCCCCTGAGCCTCAGCGGGGACCCACCCCGACCCTTCCACAGGAGAAATAAAGAAATAAACCCCCTGAATCGGAGCGCTTGGGTGTGTGGTAAAGATGGCTGAAATGGTGACTTGTGTTCGTTTGCTGTGCAGGTGCAAGATATTGTGAAACCAAGTGCAGGACACACATTCATCATAACAGGAAGAAAAAGGTCCCTCGAGCTCCAGACTCGGTACGGCAGTGGCATCCCCAGCTGCAAGGACAGCTTTGATCTGAGATTGTAGCAGATGGCTTCCTTTACTGAATGAGTTAACCTTTCCATGTGTGTGTGTGTGTGTGTGTGTGTGTGTGTGTGTGTGTGTTGTATGTATGTGTGTGTATATGTGTGGTGTGTGTATGGGTGTGGGTGTGTGTTTAAATCAAAGATGAAAAGATGTCTCAGTGGTAAAGTAGTAAAGTACTTGGCACACAGCATGAGGACCTGAGTTCGGATCTCCAGCACTCACTCATATAAAACCCCGACACAGCAGTGTGTGTCTGTAATCCCAGTCCTGTGGACAGGGAGACAGGCAGATCCCTGAGGCTTGCTACCTCAGCCACCCTTGTGGAATCAATGAGCTCCAAGTTCAGTAAGAAGTCCTGTGTCAACAAGGAAGGTGGGTAGCGATTGAGGAAACCACATGATAGCAACCTCTGTGCTCTACACATACGTGCACATGAAAGTGTATGCAGATACGTGCAAAGGCTGCTATCACAAACAGCTGAGACTTGGTTAGGGTTTCCATTGCTGTGCTAAAACACCAGGATGGAAATTAGCTTGCTCACACTTCCAGGTCATAGTGACCACTGAGGGAAGTCAGGTCAGGAACCTGGAAGCAGGAACTGAAACAGAGGAACCTGCTCACTGGCTTGTTTCCCATGGCCTGCTCAGCTTGCTTTCTTACAGGACCCCAGGACGGTGCCGCCACAGTATGCTGAGCCCCGCCACATCAGTCCCTAACCAAGAAAATGCCCCATACACTTGCCTAAGACCAACCTGATGGAGGCATTCCCCCCAATGAGATCCCTCTGCCTAGATATCTCCCCCTGTGTCAGTGTGACCAAAACAGACAACAAACAAACAAAGTAGCCAGGCCAGGACACCATTCCTTCATCTTGCTGTTTCAGCCCTGGAGGGTACTGTGACCTGACCCAGCAGACCTCACACATGCTGACCAGCAGGTCCCTCTGAAGCACACCTCACAGGGGCAGCGACAAAAGCCTAAGGATGGGGACCGTTCACAGCAGCTTGCAGAAATGAGACTCAGGCTGTCAGCTTGGGACCCTGCTGATGATTTTTTTAAAAAACTCATTACAGCTTATTTAAGTATTCTGTGTGTATGTACGGGTATAAGTGCCACCTATAAAGACAGAGGGCAGCTCCCAGGGCCAGGCCTGAGCGCTCTTTGGCAGCTTGTCGGAAATCCAGCCTGTCACATTCCACCTATGGCCCGAGAGCTTTGTAATCACCTGCCAGGGTCCAGGGTGTTGTTGGCCTTCAAGATGAGCCTGGTCCCATCGGGCCACATGTGTTCTGAACACTGAAACCACCTTTGCAGCCTTGAGTTGCAGTTACAAGGTAGTGAGTGTCTAGGTAGGCACGCAGGGAGCATCCAAGGATGGATTGCTGAGATACTCGTTTTGTCTTTGTAGGACAGAAGAAGAGAAGAAAGAATGGATTCAGGTGAAGCTTCTTGAGTTTACTCTCTGTCTCTGTCTCTGTCTCTCCCTCTCCCTTCCTCCTTCCCCCTGAATGCTGTGACTCAAGCCCAGAGCCTGGGGCCTGCTCAGCAAGTGTTCTGCTGCTGTGCTGCATCACCAGCTCTTGTGTTTTTGACATAGAGTTTCACTAGGTAACCAGCACTGGCCTCAACCCTCAACCCTCCTGCCTTGGTACCCTGAGGGTACATCACTATATATGGCTTCTATCCTTATGTTATCACAGTATGGCTATTTCATTTTGGACCGTGTGACTCAGGAACTCTTCCCTAACACTAGCACTGCCTGTTTTGATGTCTGAAAAAGAGGCAGTGAGCATGGGGTACCTTCATACATGCTGTCAGATGCCACAAGCCTTTTGGTGCATCTACTTGTCTGAGCCCCTTCTCTACAAGTAATGAACAGGAAAAGGTCATGAGGGCACGTGGGCTCAGTGTGATCTTTCTGGAACCAGTCTCCTTGGTCTTGTTAGCTCCAAGGCAACAAGAGTCTGAGTCATTGGTCAGGATAAAATGGTCAGGGATATTCTGTAGACTCCTGGACCCTGAGATCTCTGACAGCCCTGTGGCTTTGCTGTGTGTCCAGGTTATTCAGGCTACCGTGGAGAAGCACAAGCAGAAGAGTGAGTCCTTCAAGGCCTTCAGCGGTGCCTGTAGCCAGGATGAGGAGCCCAGCCTGTCTCCAGACCAGCCTGTGAGTCAGCAGCCTGTGTCAGGGGGAAGTGGGAGTCAGCTGTTGGCCATGGAGAGAGGCCTGGGGGGTATGACGCAAACAGCTTGAACATACTGTTCCCTGCTTGCCCTGTACTGAACAGGGCTGGTACCCGCTCGGGGTTAGCGTCCATGTGGAGAAAGTGCTCCTTTAGTGCTATTTTGTCATCTTCTGTGCATTCAAGGCAGCGGTGAGCATCAACAGACCTTATCTTTATTTATTTATATAGCATTCTGCCTGCACACCAAAAGAGGGCACCAGATCTCACCATAGATCACTATGAGCCACCATGCGGTTGCTAGGAATTGATCTCAGGAGCTCGGGAAGAACAGCCAGTGTTCTTAACCTCTGAGCCATCTCTCCAGCTCCTATGGTGCCTGTCTTACCCTCCACTTTGAACAGCAAGTGGATGTCTTTTTGTGGTTATATTTTCCCCCCCCAAATACCCTGCACTCCAGAGTATCTGCTCAAAGCCCTCTGTCAGTAGTACCAGGGGTATTTTGTTCCCTATCCTCTATGGAGTGACCCCAGAGGTACAAGAGGAAGACATAACTAAGGCAGGAACTAGGGGTGGTCATCCCTCATGTTGAGGTTTCCCCAGAGTTAGAGAGAGCAGGCTGGGTGGGGAAGAAGATTTCTGCCCTGTGGGAGAACAGCCCTAGAGGCTGCACCAGAGGTTGCAGCGAAAACTCCCGGGGAAGAGGCACTCTGGAACACACACGCACGCACGCATGCACACACACAAACGCACGTGTGCGCGCGCACACACACACACACACACACACACACACACACACACACACGCACACTGCACACACTCTGTCCACCTTCACTAGCAGCTTTGCTCACGCTCACCAGGTGCACCTGGAGGGAACACCTGACCCGCCCTCACTCCTCAGTCCATACCCAACTCCAGCTGGCTGACCTCCTGCTTTCTGTTTGCTCCCACTTTTCCGAGTCCAGGATGTATTTTCTAAGGGAAACTTAGCACTATTCAAGGGAAAGATCCTGTGATATCCCTGAAGGCAACGGGCACAGAGCAGGCAGCTGTTAGCTGGTCCTGGAGCATTAGCAAGTCTGCAGACTCTTTGAAGACCACAAGGATGAGGAGAGCATTCCCAGGGTCCACCACCTCATCCTTCCACAACGAGCGATTTTTCGTGTCAGGATTAGGGTGGGCCTAGCCAGCATTTGTTAGACCAGCTGTCTCACGAATACTAACCCTCAGTGCAGAGTGTTCCGTGGAGGAAACGTCTTCTGCTACATGGGCATGCCGTGTAGCAGAACGGGCATGGACTGGGGAACCACTTGACTTCAATCTCTCTTCTCTTCCAGGTCACGTGTGCCAGCCCTGTGGAACCTGCAGGGGTATCGGACAGCAATGGGGTTATTGCAGGGGTGAGTGACCCACACCCAGCCATTAGCAGGAGTGGTAGGTGCCGGGAGGGAGTCAGACCAAGGCAACCTGGAGGGTGAGGATCCAGGAGTCAGCTTGCCCTCTCCTGTGTTCAGGGCCCGGGTGTGCAGATATGAGGCTGTGCCTGAGGCCAGGCACCGGTGACTTGGGTAGCAGAGGCAGAGGCCACAAAGGAGCCTGTAGGAGGGTGTCACACAACTGTGTGTATCATCTGACCTCCCTGTGAATACTGATGAGCTTCTGTTGATAACATGTGCCGTGAAGTGATGCCAGGTCTGCATGAGCGCAGTGTGAAGACAGGTTTGTCGCCCAGGATCAGCAGCGGTGGGCTCCCCACCTCTCTCTCTCTGTGTGTTCTCAGGGGCAGGCGACTGCGTTCGTGTGCCTGTCCGCTAGGGACTGGCCATGGGAACTTGGAGGGGCGTCTTGATTTTAATTCGGGGATGTCTGATGGGCTGAGGTGAATACATGCTCCCTGTTGATCCAACTAAGCCACAGCATCACTGTGGGCCTTGACCTTCACAAACACCCATGGCAACAAGAGTTGGGACAACTCTGAGCCTGTAGTGATAGTTGCTTCACTTGTAGCCTGTCCTGATAATTTTGCCTGGCATCTTGCTGGGTCCTGTGAACTACGAAATTAGGGGAGTCACTGGAGCCACCCAGGTAAGGCAGGTGCCTCCAGCCCACCCCAGACATGGGCTCTTTCCCCTGGGTCCTTTTACACAACCATGGGCACAGTCCCATATTCCTCTCCCGCACACGGGCCTCCCCTCGAGTGCCTGTTCTTTATCTCCCCCTCTTTTTCCTCTTTGTCTCTGTGTCTCTTTCACACCATCTCTGTCTCCCCATGCCTCTTCTCTGCTTCTTCCCCCACCCTGTCACTGTCCCTCAGTTGCTCATGGCGGGCCCAGATCTCCTTGCTTTGGAGATAGGAAAGTGCTACCTGATGGGGCTCAGAGCAGCTGGCGACTTGGCCCTGCAGCTCTGAGGAGAATATGGCCTTGTTAGGTTATGGCTGTTGGGTTTCCGTTCCCATAAAGAAGAGGACATAGGCTCAGGTTGTTCTGGTGAGCCACCTGAAGCAAGCGCGGGACAGGCTGTGGATAGAGAACAGAAGAGGGCTGGTGTGACATTGGTCCGAGTGCACACACAGTATGGGACCATGGCCTGTCAGGGTGGGTCTGAATCTATTGCTGTTCCCCTTCCTGTGACCACAGCGTCCTCAATCCCATAGCTGTGTGCTCGGGCTGGCCATTTGTCAGGCAACCTTGAGAACACTTATGAGGGTTCAGGGAGGGGCTGACACGTTTCAGAGGTACGATGAGGAAAAGAACAAGGAGGATCCCTGGAATAAAAAGGAACCAGACAAGAGGAGGGACTCTTATTTGAATGCTGCTGCTGGGCTCTGCAGAGCAGACTGGCACCCTGAGGATGATCTTTGTTGAAACTGGAAGTCAGGAAGTCTAAACGTGGTGCAGGTAGCCAAGGGGGAAACAACCATCTAGACACGCCAGTGGCTTCCTGCACTAGTCTGCCTGTGCCTGCTTCCTGCCACCTACTGGCAATGTCTGGCTTCCCCTGGCTCCACCAGGCCTGGCCCTTTGTACCGGCTATCAGCTCTGCCTACATCCAGGAAGCCCCGTGGCTTATCCCAGAGTCCCTGATAAGTACTTCTCATTGTCACATTCCTTAACCTAGTGTCAATCTTCTGAGTTCCAATGTACATTTATGTGTACGAAGTTGGCCTTAGCCAGACCTGACAGTCTCTTTCCTGAAGCTTGTGGATGTATAGCTGCACCATAGTTGAGCTTCCAGAGGGATGCATGGTCACCTGGTCAAGCCAGGCTCAGCAGCTCGAGAACACACAGTCTGAAATGCTCCGAAGCCACCCCACATCTTTCAGCCACGGTTGGTATCCTGACCATCTCCAGGATGAGGCCTCAGACTCTGTTCTTGCACGGTCCAGTCCTCAGCCTTGGGGTGGGTCTGTGGAAGCATTGCTGGTGGCCAGCTGATGCCTAAGGCATCCAGGCCCAGGAAAGCCACCAGCTCTTTGTTCATGCAATCCCTGTGAGCCCACAGGCCCTTGTGAGGGAACCCTCAGACTCCTGGAGTCGCAGGCAGGCAGAAGTCTGGGGCGGGGATGGGGACTGTTTAAAGGAACAGCAGTGCCCGGAACTGTCCCAAAGGCATTAGCAGTGCTGCCTGCAAGTGGGATGTCTCACAGCTGGGGCTAAGGGGGGTCAGTGCCGAGATTAGGAGGCTACAGCTGGGAGGATTGAAGCAGTGCTTCTACCCCAGCCTTACTGTCTTCTGGGAGAGAGCTCAGGAAGGTTCTACAGTAACCTAATATAGGCTGCTCTTGCTGGCTGCCCATCTCCTTCGATTGGAAAGAGACGCTGGGAGCCCCAGAGTCAAGGCCTCAGACCACACCCAGGGCCTGCCCAGATCAGGGCTTGATCCATAGACCTCCTGGGCACCATGGCCATACTTGATGCCCGGTCTATCCCACTTGCTTTTCCTGCTTCTGTCCCATGAAACAGCTTTTTGCAGGTTCACGACATTCACCCCACAGCAGCCCAGTGTCTAGTTCTGGTGTCCTTGTTTCTTTCCCTCAGCAAAACAAGCTGGGGCCAGTTCTTCCTCCAACATACAGCTCCCCAACAACAGATAATCTAGCAGAGGTGTCTTCTGCTTCCCCCTTGATTCCTCCCCTGGCCAGAGCTGAGCTGAGATTTTGGTGCGCTCAGGATGGTTTAGAGGCATCCATGGACCTGCACTGAGCATCATGATAGGGTACACCACAGAGGAAACTACAAGAGGCTCAAAAGCAAGGTTTCCTTTTCAATCAGAAGGCCTTGTCCACAGCGCCAGACTTACGCTGCTTCTCAGCACGTTTGGAGAAGAAACAAATCCCTTCAGTGTACTGGGTTTGTGTCCTGTGCCTTCCAATGTGCAGGCTCTGTCAGCCCCTCTTTCCTAAGAGAAGCCAAACCCCATCCAGGAAGTTTTGTAAGCACCCTTGCAGAATTCAAAGGCTTCCTCATTCTGTTAAAAGTCCTGGCAGAACGGTGGTGGCACATGCCTTTAAATCCAGCACTTGGGAGGCTGTGGCATAAATCTCTGAGTTTGAGGACAGCCTGGTTTGCAAAGTGAGTTCCAGGACAGCAAGAGCTACATAGTGACACCCTATGTCAAAACAAACAAACAAACAAACAAACAAACAAACAAACAAAGTAAAAGTCCAGTTGCTCTTAGCAGAAGTATAAACACACACATACAATCAGAGTTCAAAAGCCCCCCTCCAGAACTCCAGACCTACTCTGAGTGACACACAGACCCGTGTAAGATGACATCAAAGCACTGGCCCTGATCATCCACAAGCCAGTTTGCTCCCCCATGATACTGGAACTGACTTTTCTCCATAAGGCTCATTCTGTACCTGCCGCTAGGCGCCAGAACAAAATTGCCATTAGAGGAGTAGACAGAGCAGGCTTAGCTTCAGGTGAGCCTGGCTACTTCCACCAGGGCTGAAATCTTTGGTCTGTGTCCAAGTGGACTGCTGGTCATTTTACCACTTGATACAGGCCACTGACTGGGGTTCACATCTGTCTTACTGGACAGTCCCCTTTAACTACCCAGCTAACCTGGAGAAACAGGGACCCTGAGCAAATCACTCTGTTGACCCTCAGTAGAGAACAGCTTCCGGGTTGCTGTTGGCATGTTGTAGATGCTTTTGGCTGAAGCTGCCTTGCCAGTTACTTCCTGGAAAGTCTCGAACTTAGACTTCCTGTCATGTACCATATACACAGGAAATCTGGGCCAGGCCCTCTGGTCAGCCCTGCCTGATGATCTCATCCATGAAGAAAGTATACTTGGTTGGGAGACTGGTCCTTGGCTACACATGTGTCCTCACATGTTGGCTACCTGATCATCTGTGACCTGCAAATCCAACCACAAGGCCTCTTGTGTTGTGGATGGCATGGTTGGAGATCAAGTGGACCTCAGCAGCATGGGAGCCATGTGAGGCTAAAACTCCTATCTGAACGCAGTGATTGACATTCTGTCCTGATAAAGAGGAGCTTACTAGATAACAAGGAGACCCATGGCACTGGCCTCAGCCAGTCTTGAAGGCTGTGCCTCAGGAACTTCCCTTTGTCTGAGCCCTATTGGTCCTAGGGCCTGAGCTCTTGGCCACAGCTCATCTCAGCTTTCCTCCATTTCCAACATTCTGCCAGGGTACCCTGGTGGCCCCAGAGTCCCCTGAACTCTCAGCTACCTTGTAAGAATAACAGCCGGGGCCTCTGCCTGAGGTCCCTGAGAGCCTTCACATGTCAGGATTATCTGGCAGCCAATTAACCCCTCGCCCCCATACCTTGACGTTTAGATTCCATACAAGAAAAATAGGGACATGAACATCCTGGGGGTGGGCAGAAGGTGGAGACTGTGGGGCTGCAGCAGACCGGAGGGTGGCCTCCTTGGAGCAAGGACTCACCAAAATGGAAGAAGGCGGTGCTGCGGGAGACCCAGCCTCTTGGTTTCATCTCACGAAGGATGGCACTCGGGATCTAGGGGTTACCTGATCCCGCAGGGCTGCAGTCAGGGACACGCCAGGCTCTGGCCGCAGATGCCCTCTGTGCAGACTCCTGTCTGCAACACTCCCCTCCAGCTTTGCCTCACTATGCTATTTTCTCAGGCACACCGGATAGAGCCACTGGCCAAGCTGCCGTGACCTCTTGGATCCTTGCTTCAGGCAGCGCATGGTGTGATGCATGATCTGCCGGTGATCCCTAAGAGAAGGCCTGGGAAGGGGTGCAGCTGCTTTAGCTCTGCCGGTTCCCTTCCGCAGTGTCCACATTTGTCTGGGCGTGGTCGCTTGCAGAATCCCCACTAACCCTCCACACACACACACACACACACCACCACGGGTCATCCTGTGCCCACACTCCAAAGCTGATGATGGCCACTTGCCTCCTTTGTAGACTGAGTCCAGGAAGTTGTCCTCTAAAACAAGGCGTGACAAAGAGAAGCCCGGATGTAAGAGCTGTGGTGCGACCTTCAACTCCATCACCAAGAGGCGGTATCGCTGCAAGATGTGTGGAGTGGTGAGCACAGGGCAGGAGGGAGGGAGCGGATCTGACAAGGCCCAGGTAGCCACTCACTGAGCCTTCACAGGTCCTCACGAGTGGGCAGCAGTCACCCCTAGCCATGTGCAGGGTGGCACACACTTCTCGAGAGTCATCATGTGCACAGCTGGTGAGCTGTGGGAGCTACAGGGCGGCCCTGCAAGGCTGCGTCAGATCCTGTCAGTATTAGTGACTTTTCTCACTGCTGTGACCTGAAAATTGACAGGAATCGACCTAAAAGAAGGTGGCTTTGTTTTGGCTCACAGTTTGAGGGTACACAGTCCTTTGTGGCAGGGAAGGCATGATAATCAGAGGTATGAAGTACCTGGTCATGACGTATCCACAGTCAGGAAGCAGAAAGTTGGCGGGAAGTGGGGATGGGCTATCAGGCATCAGTCAGTCCTACCCCTACTGACTCACTTCCTCTAGCGATGCCTTCTGCAGTCTTCCCAGCACCAGCCACCGAGTCCTCTCACAGAGGAGCCTGTGGGGGACATTTCACATTTGAACCAAGCCATCGTCCCCTGATGCAGATGTCCCTGTGCGTGAAACTCCCTCTGAAGTGAGAGTTAATCACTGGGCAGCTCTGATGCTGACGGTATTCCTTCCGCTCAAAAACTGCTAGTGTTGGAGCCTCAGCGCCCCAAGAGGGAGTGTGTGAGGAGATGTAGTGTCGGGATGACAGTGTCCTTGTATGAGGCGTCGTAGAGGCAGGAGAAGGAGGGCTTGGCCGTGTGGAAGTGCTTCAGTGGTGAGGAAGGTTTGATGGGAACATGCAATAAGGGGCCACGACTGACTGGTGTCCTAAAAACATATCAGCCCCAGCCCTCCTCACTCACCCCCAAAGCCGTCACTCCTGAAAATGAGCAACTGAGTCATGGCTTAATATTGAACTTATAAGTGCCCTTTAAGACGGAACTTATGGTTTAGGTATTTTTAGACTTGAATATCAAAGTTGCATCTGGGGGAGAGATAGAAGCGAGAGGGGGGAGGGTGGGAGAGAGAGAGCATGTATCTTGAAGCTATTAATTTAAAAGATGTGAAGACTGGTCACTGATTTCACATTTTCATACAATTTCACCAGGCTGGCTGGGGTGGGGAAAGGGATGAGTAAAAGAATGAATCTTTGGATGGATGATGATAGGTAGGTAGGTAGGTAGGTAGGTAGATAGATAGATAGATAGATAGATAATAGGTGGTGAATGGATGGGCAGTAAATGAGTGTATAGTAGATGGTGGCTATAGAAATGTCTAAACACTAGGTAGATAGATGGGATGGTAGATCAATGAATGGCAGATGGATGTTCAATGGAGAGATAGACAGATAATGGATAGGCGGGTTGACACGTGGCTGATGAATGCATGGTAGACGGAGAGGTGTTTGGATAGGTGGTAGAATGAGTGCGTGGCTGGGTAGATGAGCAGAGGACCTGGAGAGCACAGGGCTGCCTATAGTCTGTGGCTCCAGCCCAGGCGCGTGGCCTTAAGGAAGTCAAGACCAGGAGGAGCATGGAGTTGCTGACAGATTTGCAGTGGGTTACAAATTGCCTCTGAGGTAGGAATGGCAGAGGTGCAGAGGCTGCTTTACCCAAAACCTAGGCTTTGGTTTAAGTGCAGAAAGGGCCCAGGCTGGCTGGCTAACGTGGCTTGGGGAGAAGGCCAGCACGTTCCAGAGCACTACCTACATGGAACTGCCCAGTACGGATGCGGTCAGGAAGGCATCGGAGGCCGTTCAGAGAGGAGTGAGTGTCCAGGAAAATGCCCATGCTTCAAAGACTCAAATAATCCTTGCGTTTGGCCACAAGAAAACCATGGTTGGTGTGACCCAGGCAGTGTCAGCCAATGGTGTTTAAATAGCCAGGGAGAGGGAAGAAAGCTAAGAGAAGGTGTGGCGCTGCTACGACAGAAAAGACCCGTGTGCCCGGAGGAATAATTCAGCAGAGGAAGGGAGACCAAGGAGAGAGAACGGCTAGCCTGTGGGCTGAAGCTCCAGGGAGCAGAGGGAGAGAGGGATGAAGTCCAGAGCTTTTCACTGACTCCACAGCTAATCAGCTTATCTAGGTGGGCCGGCCAATGAGCGCCTAGGATCTGCCCATCTCTGCCTCCCCAATGCTGGGACTGTAGAGGCAAGCCACCACACAAGCCAGCTTTTACATGGGTCTGGGGACCTGAAGTCTGGTCCTCATGCTTAAACAGCAAACTTTACTGACTGAGCCATTACCCCACGACTTTGATGCATATCTTCTTGATGACAGTGCTGTGGGGCTTATGTAAGTGGCCTATGCGCTTTTCTTCTTACACACAGGGTTACTGGACCCCGGGTGGTCTAGGTAAGGCAAGCAGGCCCTGGCACTTGGGGAGGCTAAAGTCACTCTCTGCCCTTAGATGGGGCATCCAGCATCTCAGGACAAGCACATACAGGTCTTTCCTCCTTATCTGCTCAGGATGCACCGTCAAAGGCATCCTCTTGTCTTGCAGGTCCTCTGTAGGAAGTGCTCAGAATTCAAGGCCGAGAACAGGAAGGAGAGCCGCATCTGCTTGGAGTGTTTCCTGGAAGAGCCCCTGGTGCCTGTAAGCCCTAGCTCTGAGACTCCCACTGAGCTAAAACAGAAAGCAGAGGTAGGTGTCCCTGGTTCCTGGGATGGATGCAGGGGATTCTCAGTGTGGTCAGGGGACATCAGTATGATTCCAGGCTGGGAGTCAGGGTGAGATGCTTGGAGTATGTGCACATGTAAAGACAGCTCAGGGAATAGCAAGGTCTGGGAACCACTCACACCTAGGAGTTAGATGGAAACGTGTCAGCTCCACTCTGGGCCTGATAGGAGGGAGCAACAAGAAACTGTTCCCAAGTCTAGGCTTTGAGGTCCATGGAGCACCTTTTTCGCCTTAGGGCAGGCAGAGCCCTGTGTGTGTGCGTGCGTGTGTGTGACGGCGGTTAAGGATGGTGGGAGTCAGCTCCTTCTCCATCACCACTGCCTTCCCAGCCTTCATTCTTAAATGACACAGTACTTTTTAGTGGGACATTTAGAAACAGGAAGCCTTTAATTTCAAGGAAAAACGCATCTCCTTTGTCTCCACTGGATGCATGCAATTGTGGTCTCCTGGAAGTCTAACGTTGATCTCCCTCCCAAAGGCGGTGTGGGATGGTCCAAGAGGGCTAGGGCAGCAGCTGTCAAAGCTCCTACCACCCCAGCTGGTAGGTCTGTCTGGGAAGTCAAAGGTATCAGGCCGTTAAGGACTGAGGCTGCAGTGGCCTTGATGGTGAGGCCCACTGGTCCCGCTGCTGATATGCTTCCACTCCACACTCTCACTCTTCAGATGTATTCTGGGAGTCCTGGCGGTGTGGCCTGAGGCCTTGGAGGGTCACTGGGTTTGGGGGGAACCACCTCCAGCAAGAGGTGTCAGAAGCTTGTTCTTGTGGCTCAGGGGGTCTTGTTTCAAGAAGAGAAAAGTGGGGTCTACAGGAGATGTATGTGCGTGTGTGTGTGTGTGTGTGTGTGTGTGTGTGTGTGTGGTGAGTGGGGTTATATAGTCTGTGTGTGGTGGAGGGTGGGATGTGCTTGGTCCCTTCATGCTGTAACCCATATTCCTGTGCTTGCTTTTGAATTTTACTTTTCTCCTTCCTTCCTGCTTTCTTTCTTTCTTTCTTTCTTTCTTTCTTTCTTTCTTTCTTTCTTTCTTTCTTTCTTTCTTTCTTTCTTTCTTTCT